TGCATGATGGAACACCTCTGATTAGATACTTTTGATGCCGACATCCACTGGGTACATATATAGGAGCCCATAGAATTTTCCTAGTGACATCTGAGGTATCTTTACCAGCAATGTTGCTTGAGAATTGATTATACCATAGGTTTGGATAGTAAGTGTTTGAAGGGTGTACACTTGGTTTTAACAATTGGAGATGATGGTAAAATTATCATGTTTGCTGAGATTTTTTTATAGTGATGTAGGCTGCAGTTTGCAAAGTAATGGACCTAGGTAGTATTAGTAGGAATAATTGCTCTATTAGTATATTAGTAAGCAGTCCATAGAAGCTTAAGGGTGCCAAGCAGTGTTAAAAGGACCTTGTTTTTTAAAAAGAAGTTGTTAAAGAGAGAATGAAACTTTTCAACATTTAGATATTTTGATGTGCAGAACATTCCTCAGTGTAGCTCTTATTCTATGAATGAGGGATTACAAAAGAAGTGTGGAGATACTGGCTTGATCTTAATGTTTTTATCCAGGAATCCGACAGACAAACAAGTTTGAAAGTGGTGGAAGAAAAAGGATTGCTTCAGAGATATGAAATTTGTGTTGGTAGCACAAACACAACGTGTTTGTGTACTCTGAGGAATATACCTCAAGTTACTTTATGTTTCTCTGTTTATACTCTACACCACAATGTAGATGGATATATCAGCAAGCTAACTGCTCTAAATTATGAAGAACTTGGAAATATCATTGGAATATACAAATGAAAATATGACATTCTGCATTACCATCCACTTTTGGGACATAATGCATAGGTAATGAGTTGTGGTAATATTGTGTTCCCCAAAATATTTGCACCCTAATTAACTTATCTGTGGTCAGAGAACAGAACAGACACTAGATAGAGGCGAGAAAATGGTGGCAAACATGCCTTTTATCCTAGCATTCTAGAGGCAGAGATCTGTCTGGATCTCTTTGAGTTCATTGCCACACTGGAAACAGCCAGGCCTGGTAACAAGAGACTTTAGTCCCAAGAAATGATGACAGGGATCAAAAAGGTAGATAAGGCTTGAAGACCAGAAACTAGAGTTGTTTAAGCTTTTAGGCTTCTAGCAGCAGTTCAGTGTAGATTTACTCTGGATAAGGACTCAGTGGCTTCCATTCTGAGGAAATAGGATCATCTAAGTAATTGGCAATGTGAGGTTGCTGTGGCTTGTTCTGCTTCTCTGATCTTCCAGCATTCACCCCAATTACTGGCTTCAGATTTGTTTTTATTAATAAGAACTTTTAAGATTTGTGTTACAGTTGGTAGTTACAGTAAAATACCTGAGTTTTAATAGACAGTTTACTTATTATATTTTGTGAAATCCATAAATGTTGTACAAATAGTAGGTAGGCAGACTTTTTCATTAAAAAAAACCAGAAGCTGATATTGGGGTAAATTCTGAGAGATGGGAGAAACAAAGCAACAAGACACAACCATGTCTCCCTCTGCCAACTGCATGAGATCTCTGAATAAATGTCTCTGATTCCTTGATCCAGCTAGGATCTCCCACTCTCTTTCCCTCGACCGTTGCCCTTCATTGTTCCCACTCATGACCAAGCTGTTCATGTAGATCTCCTCCATTTCTCCTTGTTTTTTTTTTGGGGGGGTCCCGTTTTCCAGG